TAGAGCCCACAAGCCACAGCTACTGAAGCCCGCACGGCTAGAGCCCGTGCTCCGCAACAAGAGAAGCCACCGCAATGAGAAGCCTGCGCACCGCAAGGAAGAGTAGCCCCCGCTCGCCGCAACAAGAGAAAGCCTGTGCACAGCAACAAAAACACAGCCAAAAATAATAAATTAAACAAAAAAAAATCAGCTTGTCAAGTGATTTCTTCCTCTCTTTCTCTCTCTCTTTTCTCAGTGATTTCTTCCTCTCTTTCTGTCTCTATTTTCTCAATGTCTTTCTTCCTGACTTTTTGATGTTTGTTCCTGGAAAACCATAGCAGTTACCATTGTTTTGTAGATGAGGAAATAGGGGAAAGAAACTGAGGAATGATTTCCAGAGATAAATAGGCGGCGAGGCAAAGGGAGTAGGAACAGGATTTAGGGGTGTAATTCCTTTTGTGTTGGGGTGGAAGTCCCAGCTCTAGAAAGCACACTCTGTCACCAGCACTCCACCCTGGTGGATACTGCCTCAGTTAGCACAGTTTCTGGGAAAAGGCTTTGGCACTGTCACAAGCCTCCGGAAGAATTCCACACTTTAGGCCAATATAAAGGAGCTCTAGATCCTACCAGGTGTGCCAGTAGGGCTCCTAGTGTCCCTTCAGACCTGGGACTGCCTTGGGGATGACACTTGAGCCCAGCAGAGCAGGACACGTTAGTTCAGTAAGCCCTCATGGAACGTCTGGTGGGTCCCGGGTGCTGAGGGATGGAGAGCAATCGCCCCAGGTCCCGACCTTGGGAACCTCACTGTCCCATGGGGGCAGACAGGTCTGAAGGGGGTCTGTTTAGATTTGGAACCAACGGTCACGGTTGGACTCACATTCACATATCTCTCTCCCAGGGCCATGTTCTGCAATGATTTAAAGGAAAAGTATGAGGAGAGGATCATCATCAAAGGGGTCGACGCGGAGACCATGCACACTCTTCTGAACTACACGTACACCAGCAAGGCGCTGATCACCAAGCAGAATGTCCAGCGGGTCCTGGAAGCTGCTAACCTTTTCCAGGTGTGTGAACAAACAGGCCCAGTGCTCTCCTCTGGAGAGAAAAAAGCAGCAGTTCTCTGGAGACCTGCCTGGCCTGGCTCCCAGGCCTGTACCTGGGACACACGTACACACTTAGCTGGGCTTGTGCTTACTTGAAATTTCCCGGGGAGTGGAGAGCTGAGTCACTGACCCTTTAATGCGATGAAGCCAGGGGAGCTTGGTGCCTAGAACCTACACTTGGTTCCTGACTCCAGGAACAATGACTACAATTTATAGAAGCCTAATTGGAGTGGGGACTGCAGTCACCAATTCATATATGTACCTTCTACTCCTTAGCACAACCCAGGGAGATAGTCACTTTCCCCTACTTTGTGGGTGGGGAAAGCAAGGCACATAGAGAATAAGACACAAGGCTGTGATTTGAACCCTGGGCTTTCTGAGCCCAGGGGCCACATGTATGCCACTATACCATGCAGCCTCTCAGGGAGCAGTGTCTAGATTCCAGGGGAAGCAGGAACTTCGCTGCTCAGCAATTTGTGGTGGGTGTGAAAGAAGAGCACTTTTCATGAGGGGTGTCATGGAAGATGAATAGAGAACCCTCAGAATTAAGTTTTATTGTTTGCACTTAACTGTGTTTCAGTCTGATTATAATAATTATAGTTAGCTTCATAAAATAATTAGACCCACAGATTACATCAATTGCATCCACAATTATCACAGGAGATCCAGCTTGAGTTACCATCTTTGCCTAGGTCTAAGATTGCACCTTGAGCTCAGTTCCATTGGGTTATGACAGAGATTAACCCACTGAGGATGTCTAGATTTATGATAAACAGAGTGCAGGGACAGACCAGGTCATTCCCAGGGACGGAAGACAAGCATCAGATCTTGTCCATGGTTTGGGAGTTTGGGAGTTGGCATCCTCTTGGATCATCAGTAGGTCAGCAGTTGAAAAGAACAGAAAACAAAGTCTGGGAAGGTGGGGAAAGAGGGGTCTAGGGTCAAGATCATGGGCAATTGGATTATCGTTGTGAGGCTGGAGTCTAGGCAGGATTTAGGAAGCCCAGCAAGGAAGGGAAAGTGTAAAGAGGGAGAAAAATCAACCATGGAAGAGCACTGATGATTCTGAGTAATGGGTTTCTGCAGTGTTAGCCAATTTTGTCTCAGTTTCCTCAGGGCATTTTAAAGATACAGAACAAGTTACTTCCCAAAGGACTGGTCACGCCTTACCTGGCAATGTGGCCAAGTCAGTTACCACCTGTTCACCCAGCCCCTTGTCCTTTCTCTCTCCTTATCTGCTTAAACCCTCAGCCTTATTCACTGGCAGGGAAACTTCCTTTGTTATGTAGAGGGAGGATCTCAGCAACCTCATGCTCAGCATCCCCAACTCATCCCCTCTACCCACTATTCCACCAGTCTAACTTCAGGGAAATCCTTCTTATGTTATGGAAGGGACTCTATCTAGTTCAGCTTTTATGCTTTTTGGGAAATTTCTCTTACAAGGCAAGTATCCCTTCACTGCTTCCCCCCAAAGGACCAATAAGCTTGAGCAGAATCACCCCATTCACCATAATTCAATCAAACCACAGTTGTCATTGTTACCTTCATGCTAATATCCTTTCCTGGGGTCCAGAAAGTGTTGTTGACTTGTCTAAAGATGGACAGGTAACACTGACAATAATAATAGTAATAGCATTTATTGCTTCAAGTACAGTGTCTGACACCAGAGTAGATGCTTAATGAATACAAATTGTATTGAGCACTTACTGTGTGCCTTGAGTGACAGTGTTGGATCTAGTAACAAGGTCTCCTGTTTTTCCCACTAACTGAAAGTAGGTCTTATATGATAGGCTGAGGAGATAATGTTGTTTTTAAAATGCAGGTTTTAATATTTATAAATTGTAATAACATTACAAACTCATTTCAGAAAATTGGAAATCCATACAAGCAAAAAGAACGTAAAAATTACCTACAGCCTCTTTCTATTCAGAGGCAATATGGCAGCTTCCTTAGTATATACACTTCCGGGTCCTTTACTGTGCATTGATTATACAGAGGCAGCTAGCAGGGTGGTAATAGCACAGCTTGGAGCCAGACTGCTGGATTTAAATACCAGCTCCACCACTTATTGGCTGTGTGACTTTAGGTGTATTTCATAATTTTGCTGTGCTCCAGTTTCCTTGTCAGTAAAACAACCAAACCAGGGAATACCAAGGAGAGAGAAGATAGGAGACAGACATGGAAAGGAATCTCCTTCAGAGCCTGTAGAGAGAGCCAACTCTACTGACAACTTGATTTCAGACCTCTGACTACCAAAACTGTGAGAGAATAAATTTCTGGTTGGTTAAATTGCCAAGTTTGTGGTAATTTGTTGTGACGGCCGTACGAAACTAATACAAGCTTAAAAAGTAAACTATAGCTAAAAGTCTTAAAATGAAGAAGTAATCTCCTATTCCCACCCCCTCCTTCAGCTCACTCTTCTGGAACAATTACTTTCACATGTTTTTAAATGTTTCTTCTTTTATCTACTTCCAGATTTCTAAATGATTTGTGTACACTGTTATCTCTCTGATAACACTGTTGCCTCTCTGAGGCATCAGTTTTAGATAACTTCTTTTCCCTCTCTCCTCCCGCTCTAATTTTAACTGGTCACTCTCTAGGCCTGTTGCACAGTTGTTATCCTGGGAGTTCCCTTTGCTGTCATACTGGGAGTTCCTTTTACCTCCTTTCTAAGTTGGATTTTCTCTTCCTGGATCCCATATCATCTTTCTTGTATACTCCCACATTTTTATGGATCACAATCTTTAATATCTTACAATGAAAGAGTATTTAAGAGAGAAATTTTTTGAGACTTAAATGTCTAAAAATATTTTTGTTTTCCCTTCATATTTGATTGATATTTTGCCTGGGTATAAAATTCAAGGTTGAAAATAATTTTCTTTGACATTTTGAAGGCAGTGCTCTATATTGTTATCTATTATGTACATATTTTGTAAGAATAGGTTACCACTGGACACATGTTTTTTCATCTATTTCATCCATGTTGTATATCATCATTTTTTTTTATGTCAATAGATTCATTTCTGCAACAGCACTTACAATTGCTGTGGGTCTTTTTTCGTTTATTATATTCGTTTCTTCTATTGGGAGATTCATGTCTTTCAATTCTGGGAACTTTTCTTGTATTTTCTCTTTGATACTTTTCTTCCAACTCTTTTATCTATTCTGTGCTCTGGGGCTATTATTAGTTAAGTGTCACACCTTCTGAATTTAATTTAATTTTTTTCTTACCTTTTCTTTCCTAATGACCTTTCTGTTCTACTTTCTAGGAGATTTCCTCAACTGTATATTTCAACTCTTCTGTGAGTTTTTAATTTCTGCCACCATATCCTTGCTATTTATTTTAATAGATTCCTATTCTTATTTCTTGGAGACTATTATAATATGTTTGAAGTTTTCTTCTGCCTTCTCTTTCTTTTGAGTTCCTTTACTCTTTGTGTTTGCTTAGGTCTCCAACTTTCATCTTAGAGGGTGTATCAGTTTCCTAGGACTGCTACCATAACAAATTACCACAAACAAATTACCACAAACCATAACAAATTACCACAAAGCAACAGAAATTTATTCTGTCACAGTTCTGGAGGACGGAAGTCCAAAATCAAAGTGTCAGCAGGGCCATACTCCCTGTGGAGACTCTAACGGAGAACCTGTTCTTTGCCCTCTTCCAGTTTCTGGTGGCTTTTTGGCATCTCTTCACTCCACTACAATCTCTGCAGTCATGTCACCTTGTCTCCTCCTCTTCTGTGTGTCCTGTGTGTTATAAAGATATATGTGATTGCATGTAGGGCCCACCAGGTAAGCTTCTCCTCTCATGCTACTTGACCTAGTCATGCCTTGTGCCATATAAAGTAACATTTACTCTTTTGCCATATAAGGTAACGGTCACAGATTCTTGGGATTAAGACGTTGACATATATTTTGGGGAGCCATCATTCAACTACTACAGAGGGTTTCTTCAAATACCCTTGCTGGGCTTCCCTGGTGGCGCAGTGGTTGAGAGTCTGCTTGCCGATGCAGGGGACACGGGTTCGTGCACCGGTCCGGGAAGAGCCCACATGCCGCAGAGGGGCTGGACCCGTGAGCCATGGCCGCTGAGCCTGCGCGTCCGGAGCCTGTGCTCCCCAGCGGGAGAGGCCACAACAGTGAGAGGCCCGCGTACCGCAAAAAAAACCCTTGCTATCCAGTCATATTTTATATTGAGGCCTTAATATACTAGGTTCAACTCAGTGCACATGGAGTAGAATGGGAAGCGAGCAGACTAGCGAGTTTTACTAGGGTTATCAGGTGGCCTGCCAGTTTTTTATTTGGGCTCCTTAAATGTCAGTAGTTGCTGAACTTTTCCTAGGGCCGTTCAGTTTCTCCAGATAAAGATCATTCAGTCTTTTGCCGGGGGTTATAAGTCAACTGCATGTATTTTGGACCGGTTACGTAGGTGTAGGTGTGTGTGCAAATCTTTGCTTAACCCCTGTATTTTAAGTAAGATGTCCTCATGTGTCTTCTTCAGTTTCTGGTGTCCCTGAGTCCAGAGCCTTTCTGGTCTGGTTTCTCCACAGGATAAATCATCTTTTCCAGTGGAAGTGGGAGTTGTTAGACTGCAAGAAGTAAGGAGGAGAACCAGGAGGCTTAACTTCTTAAACCAACTCCCTGCTGTCAGCTCCCACCTACCCTGGTCTTCCTGGTTTGGGTGGACTTTAATATTCCTACTTTTTTGGATTCTGAGGGAAAAACTTAGTGTGACCTCTGTCCTCTCAGCAAAGTCACTTACCAGTCTTTATATTGTGGGGTTTGGGGTTACTGATGTCTCTTGGTTTCATTGTGGATGGAGTTTGTGTTTCTGTTTCTTGTTCTCCTTTCAGTTTTGGGTGATTTTTCAAGAGACCTATAAAAACCGTTTAGATAGTAAAGACTCTAATCTTTTGTAATACTGTTGCAAATATTTTCCATTGGTAATATGACTCATA